GAGTGCATCGTGAAGCAAGAAATGTGCATATAAATTGTATGATAAAAATTCATTTAACATTTGCTGGAAAAGTGCACAATGACTCACATGCAAATGAACGAGTTAGATTGTCATATTAAAAGTGCAAATCAATATAAATAAAAGTGCACATAGAGAAGTTTAACACACTTCGATCAAAAGTATGGCTAGTTTTACCAAAAAGTGCAGAAATATATATCAAATAAAAGTATTATATAAAAGTATTTGAATTTTATAGAACAATCGTAGATCAACTACAAAATGTGTACCTCAATGTTAGAAGTGTAAAATAACTCAAATGAAGTGCATAATAGAATGATCCACATAAAACATATTTTTAAACATTAAACATATGTAAATATATATTGCACATTAAATACATTTTGGTGCATAATAAATTTTTCTATAATGTACTCCATCCGTCCCATAAAATAAGTCTCATTTTCCTTTTTGGGCCGTCCCAAAAAATTGTTCCCATTTCCCTTTTTGAAAAGTTTTGTGTGGCTAACATTCATTTACCTTTTTCTTACTCAACCACAACCATACATTTCTACTTTATTCCCACTTTCTTAAACTCCGATCCAGATTGAAATAGGACTTATTTTATGGGACGGAGGGAGTATATATATATCTCATTTCTCCATGCACGTTTACCTTATTTTTGGTGTACTTTAAATTTATTTGGGTGCATACTAAATTTATAAAAAATATATAATAATATCTTAATGCACTTTCATATTAAATTTTAGTGTACGAAGTCAATACTCATAGTGGGGAGTACTAATTTGAAGGGATAAAACAAGATAACGTAGTTATTAGAGGGAGTTACTCCTTATTAATTATTATCCTAATTTATAGGATTCCTTTCCTATTATAATGTTACGTGTGTTGAATCTATCTAAATGTTATTTACAATAGTGACCCTCATTTAATATTGAGTTGAACACCTTCCATATCTACGAACTTAATGATCCGAAAAAAATGCATATCAACTGCTTTTTGGAATTGTTTTTGGCCGTGAGATTAAGTGAATTGAAGGTTAGATTTTGTTCCTTTTTATTCTTCTAAGAGGGTGTTCTCACAGGAACCGCACCATATATATATATATATATATATATATATATATATATATATATATATATATATAAAGTAATATGTTAAGAAGACTTTTTGTTGGCCGGATAATAGTGGATGAAAACTTTTGAATGATATGAAGGTAGTATTTTATATAGCAAATCCGAGTTAAATATTCTATTGATTTATAAAAATGCGATTATCACTACTACTAAAACATTTAATTCATATAAGCAGACTTGGTTCATCATTGTTATTCAATACACACTACAAGAAATTTTCTTTTTGGTAATAAAAAAAATTGTTGCCAAAAATAGATTTGGCAACAACATTTAGTTTTCTGCAACAACATTACATTGTTGTGGGAAGTTCTGTTACTAAAAGTTTTTGCTACAATTTTTTTGTATTGTCTAAAATATATTTTTTCACAACAAATGTTGTGTTTCCAAAACCTTATTGTTGCTAATATTTACTTTTAGAGATAAAGTATAAATCAAAGCCACAACAACGATCTTTGTTACAAAAAGTATGATTTTTTGCAATATTTAATTTGTCGTTACTATAAATCCATAACTAAACTTATTTTTTGCAACAACCTAAGTTTGTTTTAAAAAAATCTGAACACATATATCCCATACTCACAATTTGGAATGGTGAGTTGCAGACTAGAATACCGCAAATAGCCGCAAGAAATCCTTACATAGCTATAGAAATCAAACATTGTGCTCTAAAAGCAAATAAAAAATCAATAAAAAATCAATCCTCAATAAAAGTATATGATAATTGTTCAATGTATAGTAGATCTTGTAATTCTGCACAAAAAACTTAACGCATAGTCTAACTTTACTTCAAAAAAGTTAAATGAAAAAAATCACGATGTCTCGTATAAGGTGATAATCATATCTAAAAGTCCAGCTTTCAGCTTGTACTGGACTTCTCATTCGTAATCATCATCAACATGAAGCTCCCCCCTGCTTAAAAAATGGAAACAGGAAAATGTAAGAACGAGAAAACATATATGAAAACAGTTTTATTTCTTCTTCTTTTTTTTCAATTTTGAGACAAGAGAATAGAATTATCATCATACATAGTCTTACGAGTTATCATCTCAATAAGTCGTTCCTCCAAAGCAGCAATAGTGCGTGTTTGATTCATTTTGTATTCTTCCATCTCTTTCTTAGTTGCCTCTAATTCATTTTGGAGATAAGTTATCCTTTCTTGTTGTTGTCTCAATTTTTGTTGTTGCTCCTCTTGCAATCTTGCTTTGGCTGAGCCTCCGTATCCATTTCCTTTACCATAAGTATATCCAGACTTTGGGCCAAGTACATGAAGCAACATTTCTTCTTGTGTCTGTGGACGGGGTTGACTCCCTTCAGGTTCCTTGTCCTTGTCTTGCACAAGTTGGTGCAATTGTTTCTGAAAATATGAAGTCAGTGAATGTTCCTATAAATTTGGAGGAGAGTCAATTTGAAATTGAAAGAACTGAGACTTAAAAAACTCACATGTATGTCTTTTGAGCGGCTATCATTAACCCATTCCAGTACACCTTCACCATTTGTGTGTGTGTGTTCAACAAGCCAAACAACATCCGCAGGAGGAAGCACATTATCATTCTTCTTAGTCTGCAATATCATTACTTCGCATCGATGAATTCAAAAGAATTCTTTCATGGCTATCTAATCAAAAGTAGCAACTTAACTCATCACAACAATTACATAAGTATTATACTATGCAAGCTTACCAATATGTATTCCACCTCGGGAAAAGACAAGTTCCCTGTGGTATGTTTACACCAATTATCCGAGTTCCTGTTCTTACTATTTCTTAGACTTCTTTTCTGCAATTTAAGAAGAATTCAGCATGTTAACTTAATAATAGATGAAAATTATTCTCCAAACAAGCAGGGGAGACCTCTATATTATAGGATATCACCTTAATAATAGATTTTTGGAACTTACTTTAAACTTCTCTGAATTAAATGTTGCACAACACGCTCTCCGGTTATTAGTTGGAAAATCATCAGGAGGATTCTCTAAACGCTCCTCATAAGTGTCTCCACATTCCTTGTAGTAATAATGCAATCGTGCCTTCCAAAGTCTATATAAGCGTTGCATTGTGTCTATAGCAAAAGCATGAAGTCGTTCGAGTTGTGTACAAGAATCTTTAATGTTGAACTTGTTCTGTTCATTTTCAGGGGTAATGTTAAAAATTCAATAACATTTTTCTAAATAGAGTTACAGAAAATATAGAATGTTAATATTTAACTTGCTTTGAGCTAGTAAAGTATACCTTCACTTGCAACCACATTGAAGAGCCATACTTTGCAAAGACATCAGACCAATCTCCTGCATCCATGGGAGCCGTGGTCCTCAAGACATAACCACAAAAGTTTACCATCATCCTTGCATTCTCTCCTACAGCTTGGAGAACAAAATCTGGTATTTCAATGTCAAGCTTAAATTGACCACCTAGAGTCTTCTTTTCAAGTGCTAAACTTCTGTATTTTCCTCTTTTTCCCCTTTTCTTTTTATAGCCTACAATAAGATATCCATCATAAGAATTCAAATTACTTAAATAGAACTAAATGATATATGGTGGACTGATTACCTTGACTACTATTCGAATCATTCATTTGTGTTTCACCTTTGTTTTGCCTATTTTCATGAAAATACTTGGTTCTCACATTTCGAGGTAGATTTTCATCTACACAATTTTCCTTCCCTAGAGTTGGATTTGCTACTTCTTGAGCACTTAGAGTAGCTTGAACTCTACTAGAAAACCTGCTTACATACTTCAATTTGTCCTCTCCTATACATCATAAAAATATGTTGGTCAGTTATATAAAAGATAATTTTTTATGTTTGATAAATAAGATATATAATTAACTGTATGTTAAACTAGTTGTCTATGGTTTTTACCTGAAGCATGTGATGATTCCAGGTAATTGTCATTTTCATTCTCTTCATAATCAGGACTATTGCTATTTGATTCTGTATCAGCCATCTGTGTATCATCATTTAAAAATCCTGATGTACTCGTTGTTTCAACTCTAATATTTTTCTGCATTATGCTAGCATGATCTCTCCCTGCCATATTAGTTTTCGCTTGCTGCATGCTTTGAGCTTTCTTACGAACAAATTTTGAAGTCTTGTTCAATCCACCTTGAGTATTCTTTTGTGTTATCTTCACTGAACCTCTCCCCGCCATACTTGAATAATCTTCTGATATTTCTTGGGTTTCATTGAAGACAGAATTTGATGTATTTTTTAATCCACCTCCATTATTCTTTCGTATTATCCTAGCTTGATCTTGCTCCACCATACCAGTACCACAATTTCTTTGCACTTCATTACAGATGAAGTTTGATGGATTACCTGATACACTTCATGGGTTTCTTTGAAATACCTTAGCTTTGCCTCGCCCCACCATATCTGTATTAGAAAAATGCTTCAAAAGCATCAAATATTAGAATATAGTTCCATGGTGCAATAAATAAGAAATAAAAACCTGCAAGCAGCTACTCTTATGTTAAAATCAATAAAAAGATGTGAATAATAAAATCAACAAGTCATAAACCACAATTCAAACATCTACACTCATGAGAGATATTGAGAAGTTCATTACAAAAATTACACTGAAAAATAAAATGCATAAACGATCTAACAGAATGAGACAAAAACACGCATCCATGTTTTCTTTTTTCTAGTGTCTATGTCGGTTTATTTTCTTGATTTCTTTGCTAATCCATTTCACAACATCAGCTCCTCTTTCCACAGAAAATCTTGTGTAGCCAAATTCACGTTCTCCGGATATTTGGAAGACGTTGGGCATAACATAGATGTCTGAATCTCTTCTTGTTGCATTGCTTCATCATTAACTTGATCAAGTGTATTATCATCGATGAGAGTCTCAGGCATATTATACAAGTCTCGAGGCTCTGTCTTTATAACATAAAGCCACTTTTTGTTTCTTGGATCTGGCACATAAAAAACTTGTTCAACTTGTGACTCTAATACAAAAGGCTCATGTGTTGCTAAAGCAAGATCAGTGCACACACTAATCAGTCCATATTCATCAACTCTGTACCCTTTCCCTTGATGTTGTACATCATACCAATCACATTTGAAGGCAAATAAATGATTCCCATTAGGATATTGTAATTCATAAATATCTCTAAGGACACCATAGTACTCTTTATCTGAGTGATCGTCTCCTCGGACCATTACACCACTATTTTGGGTTTTCCTGTTTTCTTGTCGGTCTAGAGTGTGAAACCTAAACCCATTCACGATGTAGCCACTATAACACCTTACTGTGCGCAAAGGACCGCAAACCAGGTAGTATAAATCCTCATGAACAGATCCTTCTTCATACATATGTGACACCTATTAATAAAAAAAGATGATCAAAACACCAATATAAATGAAAAATGTATTATAAGGTATCAATATAAAAAAGTTATATGTCACATACACGACTGCGAACCCATTCTGCAAATTGCGTTTTATGTCTCATCTCTACGCTTTTAGGGATTGAGTTTACAATGGAAAGCATCTCTTTGTGCTCCCTAATATTTCAAGATATTCAAAACCATTAAATTGTCACATAAATGAAAATAAAGTTACCCATAGTGTATAATCAAGTGAACTTACTTTACAAATTCTAAGAGCTCATCACAGTTATGGAGGGCATATAAGTGAACTCGTTCAAACTCCTCTAAATTGAGATGGCGAGGAGTGGGTTTTCCTAAAGAACGACCAGCTGATCTAAAGATCTCCAACTCGCTAGTGCTGGAAACCTCATTATCATCATCATCATCATTTCGAGATGGACGATTAAACTTGGTCGTCATATTATCCATATATCTAGAACAAAATGTCAAACACTCATCTGCCAAGTAACCCCTTGCAATTGAACCTTCTGGTAATGCTTTGTTGCGAACATAGGACTTCAATGTGCGTAAGTACCTAAGATAAAGTTATTAGATAAAAAAATTAGGGTATGTAAATTGGCATTTAATTGTAGAAACATATGAATGATGTACTGAGTTTCACATACCTCTCAATTGAATACATCCAACGATACCTTACTGGACCACCAATCTTTGCTTCTGCCACAAGATGAATAACAAGATGCAACATGACAGAGAAAAATGATGGTGGGAAGATCATTTCCAGCTTGCATAATGTGTGAGGAATCTGACTTTCAAGAGCATCAAGATCCTTCATGGCTAAATTTTTTGAGCACAAATTTTTAAAGAAAGAGCTTAATTCAATTAATGCCTCACTAACATTTCTTGGGAGAAGACCATGTATAGCAACAGGAAGAAGTTGCTCCATGAAGACATGGTGGTCGTGGCTTTTCATACCTGAAAATTTTCGACCATCATCTCTTAAACATCGAGAGATGTTTGAACAATACCCATGAGGAGTCTTTAAATTTCGAAACACCTCACAAAAAGCAGATTTCTCATTACCTCTTAGGGTATAACATGCCACGGGTATGCGAACTTTATCCATTTCAACAACTGGATGAAGTTCTTTCCTTATATCCATTTTAACCAAATCGAGTCGTGATTTTATAGTATCTTTTGTTTTATCTTTTATATTCAATATTGTCCCTATGATGTTCTCAGATACGTTCTTTTCTATATGCATAACATCTAAGTTATGACGCAATCTCAATTTACTCCAATAAGGTAACTCAAAAAATATGTTCTTCTTTCTCCACCCATACAAGCTGTTTATCTCATCCCATTTTCTTTTCAAGCTCGTCTTTCCAAATGGAACTTGTCTAAATTGACTGCATTGATCCAATACATCATCACCAGACAAGGGAAGAGGAGCAGTCCCCTTTTCCACAGTTTTATCAAAGGTTTCCCGTAACTTTTTCCACCTATGATTCTGTGGCAACCAACGTCTGTGTTTCATGTAAGATGTCCTATTTTTTATAGGAACTGATGGAAGCTCTTTAAGACAAGAAGGGCAAGCAAAAAATCCTTTTGTACTCCACCCGGACAAGTCTGCATATGCTGGAAAATCACTTATAGTCCATAAGATGCTTGCACGCATCACAAAGTTCTGTTTAGCATAGGCATCATATGTCTTAGCACCAACCTCCCACAACTCTTTTAGCTCCTCTATCAAAGGCTGCAAATAGACATCCAAATCCATTCCTGGAGAATTGGGACCATCAATAAGTAAAGACAACATAAGATAAGGAGATTTCATGCACATCCAAGGAGGCAAGTTATAAGGTACCAAAACAACTGGCCAAATACTATGTGACTTATCCTCCAAAACTGCTGAAAGGTGTGAAACCATCTGTAGCTAAGCCAAGTCTGACACTCCTAGGATCTTCTGCAAAAGATTTGAATTCCTCAACTCGACGATGTCAATCTTTTGCAGAATGAGATTTGATCCACTCCTAGCTAAGCCCTGTCCGGTCTGATCCACAACTCGACGGTCCCTATCCGATCCACGAATCGGCGGTCCCTGTCTGTTCCGGTCCACAACCCGATGATCCATGTCCAGTCCGGTCAATGACCCAACGATCCCTGTCATATTCGATCCACGACCAAACAGTACTTGTTTGATCTGATCGACTGTTGGGCAGTCCCGTTCAAATTCGGTCTAGTAAGCAACTCGGCGGACCCCGTCTGGTACGGTCAATAACCCGGCAGTCCTCATCCTATCGGGCAAATGACCCGACAGACCGTGTTTGGTCTGATCGACAACCGGCAATCCCGAGCCAATCTTGTAAACGACCCTACAGTCCCTGTCAGGGTCAGTCAATGACCCAACAATTCAGTCTCGATTTTTCGAAATTATTATTTAAAGTGAAGAATTTTAAACGAGTCATTGAATTGTCCACCAATAGGAAAATGAGAACCGATACCCTACTTGAGTTGAACTAGGTTCAATTCCGGAATGGGATCGTACTTTCAGTCTTTTGGTCGGTTGAAGAACCGAGAAGTGAAAAAATTGTATGAACATGTTTTCATTTTAAAATGAAAAACTAAAAAATGAAAACAAAAATCTAGAGATAAAAAACTAGAAAATGAAAACAGAAAATTAGAGAACAAAAAACATAAATAGAAAATTGGAAAATATCTTTGTTAGTAAATAGACCCTTATGTTTTCTTTACCATAAATAACAACAAAAAATGTTACAAATACATGACACATTGTCTTCCCGTATAATGACACATTGTCTTCCGGTATAATTTGGCTTACGCTTCATTATGCATGTATACTCTCCAAGATCTAAATCACTTCACATATTTAAAGTCATGGTCTTTAACTTTCAAGCTTCCTGAACAACCATTTCAATTCATTTCAGTTTCACAAGTAGGGGGAAATATTGAACCAAAAATATGGTTTTGTTTGGTTTGAATTTGTTACTCTTTAAGAATTTCGTTACCCTCTAAGAGAGCAGCCCCGCACAACAGAAAAATTAAGTTAAGATGGTACGAAACGAAGCTCCCATCTTAGGTAAAGACTGTTTTTTAAAGAAAATAAAATCGTTGATAAAGCATATATTTTTTTCCCAAAGAGGGATTACATACCAATTCTCATAAAGTACATTTTGGAACATATGCAGTATAACACTTCAGATATTAGAAGCGCAAATGCTATTAGCACCAATTTTCATAGAGGCAACGTACAGCACTGTAAACACCATAGCGAGGCGCTCCAGAGACTCTAATTTGTTGCCTTCGAATGTAAACCATTCATCTAATTATTTTCTCAGAAAAAAGGCGTTGGATGATTATGAATGCACAGGTTTTATGGATCTGTAAAACAAGCGCCAAAATCTCACTGCCGTTTTCATATCGGCAACGTAAAGCGCTTAAAGCGACATAGTCAAAGCGTTTCAGAGACTCTAATTTGTTGCCTGAATATCGAATTAAAGACGTAAATCGATTTAAAACTATATGATACAGGCTTATATCAATTGAACGAGGCTCAGGCTAAAACAATAGAACGCATCAGCAAGCTAATTCCAATTAGCTTTCATAGTTTGATGGTATGATGTTAGTCATCACAGCCTCCATGAGGGTAGATCAATCGGACATAAATGAACAATTAGACCTCCTGAGATCAAAACCAGAAATTTCAAACAGATGGCAGCGACAAATGTGAGTATGTGAATGGAACCCTAGGTCTGTGTGACTTGAGGCCCGGTAGCACCTCACTATATAGGATCCGACAACACGATTAGGGTTTGTTCATTCGGCTATAATGCTTGGCCCATATAGGCTCACAGCAGACACTCTTGGTAAGTTTGGGCCATTAATACTTGGCCCAAAGGAACTCGGTAGGGATCGTCAACAACTTGCCCGAAATCAATGGCTTCAGGCTGAATTGGATCATAAACTACTAATGGTATTCTTGGGGTCGTTGGCCCAACGCAAAATCGAGATAATATCTCCTTGAAGGAACGGAACTAGGAGCCCGCTAAGGCCCCAGGCCGCTCGGTCCAGCTCGGGTGGCATGCGCCGTGCGGCACCACATCGTTGGATAATTTATATTGACGATCATGGAGCTCTTAACCGGCATGCTAAGTTAATTGGTGAGAAAGCAATGATTTTGGCAAGAAGAATATTTAATGCAATAGATATGCAAGATTTTATGATTGAGGATTAGTTATTCATAGTCCTCCACACCACCACTACCACTTAGTATGTTTTACTTAAATTGAAATTTTATGGTCTGGTCGGGACATATATGGTCTGATCTGATCTGGTAAATATTTGGTTTCCATGTATTTTATAATTGTCTAAGTCTGGTCTGATCTGGTCTGGGGCGAAAAACAGTCCAAGTAAAAACATTATTACCCTATGGTAGTATAAATAGTAATATTTATATCATTGTTAGGGGTTGACAACTTGTACTCTAGCTATAGCCTTTCTTTCTACTTCTTATGTACTCACAACTTAATTTAAGGTTCGACATTCTACTCAGTAGGGTGTGCTATAGTTGTGTCAAGTGCTTAATAGTACCCGGTCCACTTACCTATCTTATTCCTTCTTGCTAGTGTTAGTGCCTTGAACCAGCTATCTAATCCACTAAAGTATATTTAACCCACCAAAATTTCCTACGAAAGTCCAAGGAAAAGTGTTGGGGGCTTTGGACCTAGATGAATAAATCTCAACATCGTTGCTGTCTGTGGAAAACTGAACAAAAATCTCATAAGCAAGCTCTCGTGCTAAGAAGCACTTATCGAACCACTCAAACATGCAAAAATGGTTAGATTCTCTTCCGAACACGCTCAAGACTTGTCTGAACAGTTGCCCGACAACATGAGATCACGTACTTTGAGCTCCACGGAGCCATCAGACAGAAAATGGTCGCATTAGGGCGATCGGGGGATGTCATTCATTTGATTCCCGTCGAGGCTTGGAGGGACCCATGACTCTTGAGGGAACTGGCGGAAACCATGCGACACATGGCCAACCAGAATGACGCGGAGCAAACTATTTACTCCGTTGAAACCGAGCGTACCCCCCATCTCCTATTCGACTTATGTAGTCATTTGGGATTTACACGAGGGAATCTGAGGACTCTCGTACCTCAGTCCATATAAGGATCAGTGGAATGTCGGGTTATCATGGGCTTGGAGGTTGCAGCCGCTTGGGCACGACAAGACGCGAAAAGGGTGTTGTGACAGACCGGAATCTGGTGTTTCCTCACAGTATGATGGTCCCGGATAGGGTAAAAGTCTAGAGGGGGGGGGGTGAAAAGACTTTTAAATCTTTTTCGACTTTTGGAAGTTTTCCCTCTAACATAGTTAATCTATAAACTTTTGAGAGTTTTATAGATGCACAGCGGAAGTCTTTACCCTTTGACTAATGAGTGTTTAGCCATTTTCTAATTTGGAGAGTGTTTGGCTTAGAATGCTAGCAGTTGGCTGTGAATGCTAGCAGTTGGCTTAGAGCAGGGACCTGCTGAGGC